AAAATAGCACCCCCCCCCTGGCCAGGGGGGTGCACCCCCCCCCCAGTAAATCCATCCCAGCATGTTGGGTTTATAGGGGGAGGGGGTCGACAGAGGTACACACCCTTGGCCAATAGGGGAGTGTAAAAATCGGAAGGGGGGGTCGCTATATATTGTATATAATTAGTATTACAAATATATTGTAACCTTAGGTATTTTATGTGGTGTGTGTAATTGGGGTTAGTACCCTAAGTATCTTACTCCTCAAGCTTTGCCCGGTGCTGGGTTCAGAGTCCTCACCTGTTCGCCTAGCATGCCCCCAAAACAACCTGACTGAATCTACTATTGCCAGAAAGATATGATTATAATCAACAATATACAATTTTAATGCCAAAATTAAATTGTGTGCCAACATGCGAAATAAACTCTGCACAGATTGTGCACTACCTTTTCATTTCATACTGGGTGAACATTATCGTGAGGGGACTCGAGAATAAATCTGAATAAATTTGAATTGCTTTCGCACTTTCCTAGTTATTTTGTGTGTTTTGCTTATAGAAATGGAAATTATAGGGGGGGGGGGGGCTGAAGCCCCCCAGCCCCCTGCTTCCGACGGCCTTGTGTTACATGTGACATTGCCAGCTGCCATTAATAGTTTGCAGAATTGTGAAAAATAAATCAATGCTGTAGATTGCAAGTGGCATGCACTTTCTCCATTGGCATTATAGACATAATACATATAGAATTCAAAAAACCAATTAACTTGGTAATCCTCAGGAGTATTCCATACTCTTTGAGAAATCAGTCAGATGCAATTGTACCCATCCTCTGGTCAGCCCTTAATTGCCACTAGACGTTTCTGTACCTTTGCCCTGCATATCAATGGTTTATGAACTCGACATTTTATGATTGAATTAGCTCTTCCACTATGATATTTACGCTCAATGCCTCAAGTAAATAGAAAGTAGTACAGCAAGCTGGCTGGAATAATGGTCAGAGGTTCCCTCCTCAGTGGCATAACTCCTAAGGGCTGTGCCCGACAAGAGCCAGGGGCCCAGGGGGACTGTGCCTTGTCAAGGAAGGTCCCTGGGCTAGCCTTTATGCAGTATTTGAAAATTTTAATTTCAATAATTAATTTAATTAATAAATTAAATTAATAATAATAATTATTTATTTATTTAATTAATTAATTTGTTTTTTAATTTTTTTTAGCTTAAAACTCTTCCTGTTAACACTCTGAACAGTAGGTCAAGGGGGCCCTTCACGGGAAGCACTGAGACTTCATCCTACCCATAATTAAGATTCTGGGAAATGAGTACCCCATATGCCCCTAGTGTATAATAGAGTGTGAATTTCAAGTTGTGAAATAAATGGAAAGTGCTATTTTTCCAGGGTACCCTTGACCCAAAAAATAGATTGATTATGTGATCAGTTTTTTACCCAGAAATAGTTAAATACTTTGCATTCTATGGAATACAAGGCTCTTTTGTAACTTACTGTTTGCAATGAGTAAAATTAATATTGTATTAATAATAATTATAATAATAAAATCTTTATTTAAACTGCATTTTAATTGTGTCAGCTGACAACACGATGACCGCTAGTATTAATACAAGTGCAGAAATATTGTATTGTGTATTATGTAATGTAATCTTCAAAAATTATGAAGGAGCCTCAGAACTCCTCTCCCAACTAAAGAAACACATCAGGGGATGGCTTAGTCCATTACATCCTACTGCTAATAACAAACATGAGATTGATCATAAAGTTTGTCTCCACTATGTGTTCTTTTATGTCTTGCTGAAGTACTTGAATATCTGAATTCTTTACAGACATGTTATTCATAAGGTTTTACTCTATTATGTGTTCTTTTATGTGACAATAACTAAATTGTTTGATCTTGAATATTGTTTGTTACAAATCTTATTCTTATTGTCACACTCGCATAGTTTTTCTGACTTTCAACAGTGTGCTCATGCACTTACGAGTGTGAAAATGTTCTCATATAATCCTGAGGATGTGCTTGTCTGTATCATATTTGTTGCAGTGTATGTTGTTTAATTAAACAAATTTGCCCATGTTGGTATGTTTGCCAGAATCATATTTTTTCACAATGTCAACATGGCATTCTCACATTCAAAAGGTAATTGTGAGTGTGGTGGTGCCTTTAGTCCATTACCCCCCCCCCCTCCCTTGCTCTTGCTAAACATCTGCCTATAAGACATTGGCTTATTGCATTTTTAAAGCACCCCCACCCCCACCCCAATGGGGGATACTGGAATTTCCAGACCCCCCTTCCTAAAATTCAACAAAAAAGAAGAAATTTCCAAGGGAGGGTCTAAATTTCAAAGAAAATCTGTGGAAATTCCACGGGATAGGTTCAGGGCTGTGCCACCTGGGGGGTGTATCACCCCCCAAAGAAAAGTAAAAAAAGGGGGCCCAGCTTGCAGAGAGGGGCCCTGGAAAGCGGAACGTGTTAAATATTAAGGAATTTTCTGGAAAATTGGTCTGAAAAGGTCTTCAAAACTAAATTTAATTAAGCCCTCATTATGTAAACCTAGTGTTTGAAAAAAATTTTGGAACTTCTCCCCTCCCCAGTATTTTCGGGAAAAATTCTTTGGTTTCTGGAAAAAAAATTTTGAGGGGGGCCCCAAATTTTTTATTTACCCCCCCCCCAACCAAAAACCACTTGGCACGACCCTGGGTAGGTTAAAAAAACAATATGGAAATTCCAAGGGATGGTTACCTATTAAACAAAATATGTGGAAATTCCAGAGACTAGGTCAAAACCATCGGTGGAATTTCCAAGGGATGAGTAGAAATTCATTAAAAATCTGTTAGAAATTCCATGCGGTAGACTGGAAATTCATCAGCATCTGCAGAACTCCAGGGGAGGGGGTCCAAAAAATGGATGTTCTCCATAGGAGGGGGATTAAAAATGCAATAAGCCATTATAATTTGAAAATGGAAGCAATATTGTTCCACTATTCAATTACAGCAGTTTATTTTTTATAATATATATGATAAAATATCATACTGACCTGGCAGTTTAACTTTTTAAAACTGCTAATAAAATGCTGTCAATGCATTAATGTGACCACATTGGCATGTATTATCCTGCTTATGTAATATCATCTTCATCAAGTCAAGTAATTATTTAATCGTAGCTTGCCAACTTGAGTAAAATAGTATAAATTGATTTCATTGTTAAATGAACAACTCAGTCACAACCATGAACCATAACTCACTCAGTATCCGTACAGATATAAAGACTTGCATTAACAGAGTAAACAGACTGTTATTTAATATAAACTTTAACTATGTTTGAGAAAAATTCTGTCATAAAATCTTTTTTCAGATAAAGAGTAAGATACCTGTCATTTTAGAATATAAGTTCTACCAACCAAAAAGAAGAAAAACGTCAAAAAACAACAATAGAAAATAATATATACTGTATAGAATATAAACTCCACTCCTAAGCTTGGCGCCATATTGAATTTCGCGGTCGCGCCGGGAAAGGCCTGGGGACTAGGTGCTCTACCGTATCTGAAATAGCCTTCACCGTATTTTATAGCCTTTTATACACAGTGTCTCAATTTTTACCAAGTTTAAACCAGTATAGACTGTATGTTCGCATTGGAAAACATGTGTGTGCCTTGTTATCTTAGGAATATAGTGGGGAATTTTGACAGCCATTCCTTGCCCAACAGTGGGGATTTTGACAACAAAATTTGAAAAATGTCAAAATTCCCGTGGGTTGCCCGCACCCCCCCCCTCAGGGGGAAAACATTGATAGGTGCATAATGCTTAGTTACTTTTGTCGTATTCAATGCTTCTGTGAACTAGAACACTCTAGGCATGTGAGTTATCTATAGTTGTGAATTGGTAGCAAACAATGTAAACCTGAACGTTATATAGCCAAATTTGTCCATATACTTAAGTTCTTTGGGTAATTTCTTGACATGGCTTTTGGCACCTGAACTAGTAAACTTTACCGTTTAATTATTTCACTTTTGCCCTCAATGACCTCGTTTCCATGTTTGCCAATTTTAGCATGGCAGGTACACATGAAGGTTATATCTCCATGTTTCGTGTGTAAATGTGTTTCTCTTTAATCTTCAGCCCAATCACAAGCCTATCCTTAAACCTACTGTGCGCGAAACACGAGGAACTAACCACATGACGCCACTGGGACGAGAGTGTATATGCATTGAACATTAATCTATTGATTTAATGTTCTAATCAGGCAAATTTTAAACCTAGCTTAATCTTTGTAATATCATAGCTACCTCGAAATCCTTTGTCTCGCGAGATGCGATTAATGACCAATTTACCTCATTGCTAAAAAAACATGAGGGACGATTAGAAACTAATCCGCCTCCCACGGGACGATTAGTTATTAATCGTCCCTCATCTTTATGCATAACCTCTTCTACTGTATTGATATTCAATTAACTCACTAAAGGTAACACTTCGTATAATTTATTCACAATGTTAATGTTTACCGTCTGAACACTTGCTCCGTGCAAAAGACCTCCACTACTAATTTGTGACTGGCTTTTTTCATAGTCAATACACGCATTTACTAATAATCACAATCTTCATCGCTTAAAGTTATTGATTCATTTGTCAGAAACCATTCTATTGTCTCGGTAGCTATGATACTACAAAGTGATAGCATGGCATTACGCGGGTCGATTAGTGATGAAATATCCCTGGAGCCTCTCTTGGCTTTCGGGTACATTTAATCACTAATCGACGTGAATGCCATGCTATTACTTATAATAACGTTATTTTGGGATGTAATATAGTAATGACTAAAAGCGATTGACAAGGGGAGTTCCAAAACTCAAAGTTTTGCGTTACTGGTTCGAGGTTAATTAAGGTTTAGGTTAGGGTGGTTGTTGATTGTCTCACAAACCCCAAACATGATTTTCAATGTATAAATTTTTTTAGCAAAATAGGGAAACTACGATTATCTAATGATATCATTTCCGGTGACTTCCACAGTGAAAAAGTTGGTCAAGATGAAGTTTTTTACTAGAAAGACATTAATATTACATTTCTTCTTAAATGACTCAAATTGTAACACAAATATGACAACCTCAGAGTGACAACCTCGTAACCAGGAAAGCGCAGAAACCCTGGGTACGAGGTTGGCATTGATAAGGCTTAGAATAAGGACAAGCAATAAAAAAATAAACTAAATGAAAATACGGTCAAATGCCATTAACAAGAGATTTTATATATTTTATTGAATGTCAACTCAAGAGGATATTATGTTGTATTCATACAGTACGTTATTACACTGCATTCACACTTCCTGTCATCCAAATCCCAGCATGCATTGATTAGTACGTTTCGTTGTTTTTCATAAACCACCACTATGACTGACGTGAAATGCTGTTAGTCTTCGGCTATGAAGGTATTGATAGCTAAAAGATAGAGAGAGGAAAAATGTATTAGAATGGCGGAATTGTATAGCCTCGACATTGCCTCTATCATGAGTTTAACTATACTGTCCAACAATGTTACGCAGTGTGGGGCTTCGCTGGGGCAGTCGCCAGAGCATGCGCGCCTTTCACCTCTGAGATCGTGGCACAGAATAAAGATCAGTACACAGCAAAAAACGCCATGTTGTTGAAAACAGGATTGAACAATGTTTTGCTATCCACATTGTTCATAGCTGTCAACAATATTGAACAATATTGTTACACCCGATTCAGGCTCAACAATATTGTTCAATATTGTTGACAAGTGTGAACAACGTTGGCAGCAAAACATTGTTCAAGCCTGTTTTCAACAACATTGTTACAGGCTGGCGTTTTTTGCCGTGTAACAGAACGGCCACTCAGCGGTGCAACGTGTCCTCGTTTTTTTATGCAAAAATATGCAGTTTACTGGCCAGAAGGCGGAGCAGCCAGCCAGTACATGCGTAATGCGACATGCGCGAGGACAGAAACTTCAAAGCTTCCGACGTAAGTGGCCTTTCTATATGGATCCTATTCTATGATCGTGGGTTCGACTCTCGCTACGCACTCATGTGAAAAGAGTCGGTCAACGCTCTGCCGAAACTCGTGGGTTTTCTCTGGGTCTCCGATTTCCTCCCACAGGAAAAGTTGACAGGGTGAGTTAGGATAAACACAGTTAAGAAAGTACTATCACAATAGACCCTTTCGATAATTAGGTCACATGTCTTGTTTTGGCCTGGGAGCCTCGCTCTCATGAATTGTGAGCCAATCACCGTTTGTCTTGAAACATGAGAATGAGGCTCCCAGGCCAAGATGAGATACGTGACGTAATTATCGAAAGGGTCTATTGTCGTAAAGATAAAATAGTCCTGGATAAGTATGTAATTAGGTAAGCGTGATACTTGATGTAAGGCGCATTTGATTATATCCACATGTAAATTTGTGCTATAGAAATGCTAATCGTAATCGTACCGCTGCAATCGAGACTACCATTGCCTTCATACAAAATCCACATATCCATTATGATAAATTCCATACCAGCCCTCACTTCTCCAACTCAATGTTGAGCTTGTGTCATGGTAAACGGCCAAAGGTTATTTCGGGGCTGTTCACAACATTGAACTGGGGAAGAGGGCGTGACGAAGTTTGTTTTGTCGATCAATGGTATATTATGTTTGCAATATTGGCATATCCATTATGATAAATTCCGTGCAAGCCCTCATTCCCCCAATATAATGTTGAGCTTGTGTCATGGTAAATGACCAAAAGTTGTTTTGGAGTTGTTCACAACATTGAACTGGGGAAAAGGCGTGACGAAGATTGTTTTGTCGATCAATGAACATTAAGTTTGCAATATTGGCATGTCTATAGGGGAGGGGGGGGGGGCAGTTTATCCAAGACTGTAGTCCCACCAAATATGTCTTATTTTTTGGCAGTGTTCAACTAGCTTCAGTTCCCAATGAGTTTTGCTACCATACTGTCCACTACTTGTAAATATTTCAATATATAACTCGCCTTTTGGCCTGATCATTATCACATTCATCATAATCAGCGCGTTCTTTATCTATAGCTTGTGTCCGGTCCCCAGGGTTTTCGTCCGAGTAACCAGGACCTTCACACCACGGGCGACGTCCGTGTCCTGTATTGAAAGCACAGTTAGTGAATATGTAGTTTGATTGGATAATCAGTATATTTTATACAAAATAGACATGGCTTCGCCGACTGAATTCTTTGTTTTATGTTTTTGTTATAGGGCTAGTTCAACTTGCAACGACCGCATGATATTCTTGATAGACTTGATGCTATTCACGTTTATGGAAATTTGTGCATTTCAATGGTGAGTGAACGAATTGTTTTTCTGTATAATGAAGCGACCATCCTATTGAAACCTTATGCTTGTAATGTTTGAATATTAAAGCCTGCCGCATACGAAAGAAACTTGCTGAGCTAGCTCAGCCGGAGCTACCCTGGGTCCACGCTCGTAAAGGGGGATAATAGACGTTATTATATACACAAGGTCTGGATATGAGGTATTCTTCAATCTGATTGGTTCTCTACTAGCAGGATATTAGCTCATATCTTGCTAGTGGAGAAAAACAAAATGGCGGCTCAAACTGAATTTCCGACGTTTGCGAACGAGAAAACGACAAGTTGTTCGCTTTTTATAGCCTTTACAGGATTAAAAACACAATGAAAAAACTCCCACAAATTGTTTACAGGTTAGCAAATGAATTTTTAAAATTTAAAATGGTTAAAAATATATATTTTTGAAAAAATAGTCGGCCGAAAGAGCGAAGATAAAAACATAAACAAAATAGAAAAATATTGAAAATATCCGCGAAAAGCAAAGTCTGTGAGTTCAGACCTTGTGTATATAATAAAACAGTTATTCCACTCACTCTCGTCGAATATGAGCAATAGCCGATTCGGCGCTACGCGCCTCATCGGCTATCAGCTCATATTCGACTCGAGTTCGTAGAATAACTGTTAAATAGACGGGATCCCCGTCTATCCTCTATTATCCCCCTTTACGAGCGTGGAAGAATCTCTGGCACCCAGGGTAAGCTGTAGCATTTTCACCAACAGCAACATCGTTGATAAGATCGTTTGCATTAATTCTCCATTGTCACGATTTTGACCAAAGTCACATGAAGAAACTATGGATTCTCATTGGCTAGTTAATTCAAGCAACTAAGCTCGCAACATCCGCCGACGTCGAGATTTTTTCCTTGCGAGGTAAAAAATATCACTAACACGACCTCGAGAGGTTAAATCCTCACGAAAACTATCTGCACACGAGAGAAACATGCTGAGCTAGACGCCACGCGAGGCGGTGAGCTCAAAGACAAAGTATATAAGATTTGTCCAAGTTGTTTTCGACATCAGTTGGAATTCGATTGTAAACATTTCGAAGTTCACCGGCCTTTCTCACCATGTTTATATTTACTATGGATAATTGAAAGGTTGGAACTAATGCAATCTGAATTGTTGCCGTTCTGTCAATATTAATGTGGAAATTATGAAAGTTCCATGATAGAGCAACACTCGGCGATGTTCAATATGACTGGACATGAACTGGTAAAATATGTTATGGTAGAATCATTTCCATTTATTCAATTCTCAATGGCCATCTCCAGCTTTTTTCTCAAAATGGGCGTAGAGTAAAACATCGGCAGGCCGTAATGAATTCCCTAATTTTCTAAGGCAGAATATGCCTGTTTGCAGGTTGGAAAATTAAATTTTATATCAGTGGTGTGTTTTGTTCAAAAGTAAACTATAGGGATATTAATGGATAACTTACTACATTTATGTCAATTATGTGTATGTGGGATATATCTACTATATCTGGATATCAATAGACCTACTACATATTATAATATATAGATAGTATAGTAATGGGTAACGTCAACTACGTTTATGTGTGGATAATTGGATATTAGTGGATGTCTGGATGACCTACATTAATGTTTTATATATAGATATCATTGTCTAAATTTTTCTGTGGATATTAGTGGATAACTTACTACATTTATGTGTAAGTGGACAGCAGTGATGAGAACATAGATAACTGTTGATGTTACAACATTTGCACTGCAATCCTTCACTGTACACTTGCAGTTCACAACGTCTGAATACCTACAGGACACAATGAAATTTATAAGTACTATTTAAAACACGAGTAGGAGTGTAGTTTTATCAGATATAAAACGCGAGGCGCAGCCGAGCGTTTTATGTCTGATAAAACACGACAACGAGTGTTTTGAATAGCTTAAAATACGACTACAAAAGAATACTAATTAGGATGAACCATTATATAATCTTACTAATTAGGATGAACAATTATATATAATGCCGCATGCTTTATCAGATATAAAGTCACTCCACGTGACATATTATGGCCGACATGATTTGCCACAAGGTTTATGAATTACTGATTATTGATTAATGAGTATTTTAACATAATATAGCGTTCATAGCATTAATCAAGATATTTTAATCTTTTCTGACTATATCAGCTGAGATGGAAAGCTATACTTATGTCTCAGTTTAGTGGTTTACAATCACCGTAATGTATAACTCTTTATACCAGTTCCCAGTTATACACACCCAGTTTGGTGATTTATGCCAATTATGGCTTTCATAACTGTTTAGCCTTCTCTTTTCCCCGACATTTTATAACTTTGTATTCAGAAAATACTTCGAAACTGCCCAAAATATATATATTTAGATTATACGTCATTATTTTAAGTATATATATATACGTCTATAAATATATATATATACAGCCATCATATTGAGGAGACGATTTCACGTTTTATTAGATCAACCTACAAACTTCTGGAGATTTATAATAGTACAGGGTGTCCCCAAAAAATGCAATAGGTTTGTTCCAGATTTCTACACAGCTAATTATTAGTAGGCATCGAAAATCTAATCTAAGAGATGAATTTTGACACTAAAAATTAACACTGGTCTACAAAAACCAAAGTTATGGCTGTTCACCCAATAGACCAATAGGTTTGATGACCCCTTACTTTACTATAACACTGGTTCTACTAGGCCGATTTCAATAATCTTACGCCCGTATTCTAAAAGCTCACTCACACTCAAGGAGTGGAGGTTCAATTGGAGCTTTTCTCGAGTGTCACTTCTGTTTTTGAATAGCTGGAGGGTTAGTGCCATAGCGTACAATGTGACTAGTCACCCTCCAGCTATTCAAGAATAGCATTGACACTCAAGGGAAGCTCAGATTGAACCTCCACTCAGTGAGTGTGAGTGAGCTTTTAGAATACGGGCGTTAGTGTCAAAATTCATCTCTTCAATTAGATTACATGCTTACTAATGACCTGTGTGAAAAATCTAGAACATAGCTATATATTGCATTTTTTTGGGGACACCCTGTAATACTATGAGAAATACACTCAAGTGATAATAATTTTCCACTTACCTGAGAAAATGATAAGTTGATAGCGAAACAAAGAACCACTAGAACACTTAAACTCTTCATTATTATACAAAGCTTGGTCGTCTTAATATGATACCCCTTATACCAGCGTCAACTCTGAACAAGATCTGTCATGTATTCACATCTAAATATTGTCGTTCTTTTGTTCACATTATGAAGGGAAATGCAATATATTTAAGCGATCTCATTTGACAACGGAAAAGACAAAATATTACCTTCACAATGCCTTCTTCTATAGACTATATATATATTATATCACGTGAAATACCACATGAACATCTTCATTTGGGAACCAAATTGGAAAGAATTGGAGAAATTGTGTTAAATTTACACGGGATTTTGGCGTAAATTAAGGAACATGTAGTGAATGTAAGTGAGCTTACATGCACAACTCATAATTAACACATGCGGTAAAAGTGAATATTACTTTTTCTGATACAGAATTCAACGCAGTCAATGAATAAGTCTGAAAGTGAAACAAATTTTCTAGAAGAAATGCCCAGCAAATAGTTAAACGTGTATTACAACTCTTAAAATCACAATATTGTATAAATTTAACATTTCCTGTTTCAAGGAGAACTGAATTACTATATATTGATTATTGATGTAATGGTATTGTGTAACATTGTCTTTTAACGTTTTGCAATGACACCCAAACTAATGTATAACGCGCGGTAGCCAGAGATATGCGAATGAGAGTCTCACTTCAAGGAAGTCCTCTAAAAGAGCGGGCAATGTCATGTACGCCGACCAGAAGTATTTCTTAATGGGTACTAATTTTTAAGAAGCTCAGTCGCTTCAATCAACGGCAACCAAAGGTAGCTCTATACCTGCCTTTAGAATCTTATATTTCCTATTTCCATTTTCAACTATAACACTCCAATAATTCACTCTATAGACGGTGCACCGCACTTAACTATTATACTGCGTCTGGTGTCTACATTTCTTGTAATAAAAAGAACATTACATTGCACTCTGTGTTTAGATTCTCTTGAAAGGAAATTTTATTAATTTTACTAGCTCAACTTTACAGAGGTCGCTTGATTTTGTAAAATAAATACAATACTTTATCTATAATATGATGAAAATACTATAAATACTTTTAAATATTTCTAAGTCTTAGTTATTTCTAACATTAGGGACCGGTCATTATTTATGGCGCATGCACCGAAGAGAAAAGGGTTGGGTAAACAAAATTTTGAGTGAGTAAAAGGTTGGGTAAATGAAAAACAAAATAACTCAAGGGTTGGCTAATAAAAATTTATTGTCATTCAAAATTTAGTCTCACTCAATCAAATACTGAAAACTAAAAGCAATGTCAATAGTCATATATGTCAATACAATATGTAAATCAATCAATCAGAGTCACTATCTTGATCAGGAGGCAAATGGTGTCTCCAAAGAAAGTATATGTGCAGGCAACATGAACTTTAGACTGCAGAAAATTGTACAATCAAACATGTGTGACAAGTGAATGGTATCCTTTTGTAAAGTTTTTGCCAGGGGTGGTAAAAAAGTTTGACTTTTTAATGGTTGGATCAGCAAAATTTTTACCAAGAAGACCATTCATTTCTCTTCGGTGTCCCCCCCCCCCCTCCCGTCATAAATAATGACCGGTCTCTTAATGACCTGTTAATCGAGTGTTAACACCAGCATTTGTAGTTGAAAGGATCGAACAGTTAAAATAAAGATCATTATTACTTGTATTTAAAAGTACGCTAAACTTGCTACACCGAAGAAGAGTTAAAGTTCTTAAAGATTCCTAGATTCTTACAATTATTACTTCTTCATTAAAACATGTAATTTTACCGAGTTTCGCCAAGTATTTCTAGTAACATAACATGTTTACATTCATTGGATGTGTGTTTTTATCGAGTTCCACCATGTATTTCTGGTAAAATATCTTGCTATACCAAATATAAAGAAAAGATATATAATGAATGATAGCATGATGACAAAATGACTGATACTCGTCCCAATCTCCAACCAGCTTCCATAATCTTGGACAAGATAGAAAAACTGTAACGCCAAAAAGTCGGTCATTATGAGGACTAACAGGAACAGCCGGTTTACTGGAACTTTGCACACCACGTGAACAGCATCGAATACACACGTGACCACAACAAACGGAATCAAAATTTTGAGTATCAACAGAGAGCCCATGACAAATGGCGAGAAGACAGTTATGAAGCAATAGACAGTCGTGGGATCAAATGTATTAATACTCGCGATATTTCCAGTGCCAAAAAATGCAGTAATGATAAAATATACGAAGAAGAAAGCACAGCGTAAATCGTCAAATGATACCTTTCTCGCGTGACCGTCCCGCGGGTCGTGGACAGGTATTTGTGCCAATGATGTATTAGGATAATCTTGGAAACAACTGGATAACTGATGTTCCAAAGTCAACCATAATGCCATAGTTGAGGATAAGACAAGAAAGAAAAGTGCTTCATAAGAAGTGCTCAGTAGCAAATACACTGGAAATAATGACATGGTTGTACTCAGTAGCCGTAGAACAAGCGCATCTGTGACCAAAGTCGGTAGGAACACACAACATATCACTGTTAACCAACTGAATATATGGTTGACTCTTGGTATGCCACGTTTTAAAGATAAATTATAAGCACTGTGGTTTAATATCGCGACAGCTGACACCAGAGTCAGAAATTGTATAACAAGCACGACTTTTGTCATTGTATTGAAACATCCTTTGTTCTTCTTGTATAAATATAGAACTACAACTGCTTCTATGAGTGATACTATTCCAGCTAGAGTTACTAACTGATAATTAGAGTCACGCCCGACCACTGGAAGTAATGGAAACCACGCAAGTGTTAAACAGTGTATGATCCATAAACCAACTGTGACTGCATGTGTTTTGACCAGCGGAGTGGCTAGAGGCCATGTGGCTAGAAGGATTAATCCAACAGACAGGATATATCGATAAAAGAAACTGAGTACTAGCACTTCTAAACCGAGAGTCACTAGGAGAAGACTGAGGACGAGTTTTAGAACATTGTTAAGTGATGTTACACAAAGTATCTTGATTGTTGTCCATTGTTGTACGACGTAATTCCAACACACGAGCGGTAATAAACAGTATAAATAGTGTGTTATGGGTGCTTTCTCAATCTGTAATAACACCACAGCAGTACAACCAACACCAAAGAAGATCTTGTTGATGAGTGAATTCCACTTGTCATTTTTCTTAGAATTTTTTGATGTTTCCCGGAAAATTCGTAAGATGACACAGCTAATCCACCCCAGAAATCCTAGCGTGACCATACAGCTAAGAAGAAGACGGTCATATTTCTGATAATAATTCAGTCCTTTCAGAGAAAGCTTGATCAAATGATGACTTAACTTGACAGCTTTGTCATAATCACCAGATTTCATGGAAATTGTAATATCACGAATGAACGCCATTTGCTTGGAACCTATAAAGCAACGAAAACGAATGAGACACTGATGACGACATTATAGTATAGGAGTATAGTAAATATAAAGGTACTTTTGCAGTTGTTTGTAACAGATTCATCACAGCGTAGCATATATATTATTTCATACTTTCCTCTGAAAGACGTTCTTTGAACGATCTTGGGATATATCTTAGCAAATACGTTAAATTTTTGCCTATTTCAGCCCTAATATTCTTATAAACGAGATTCTTGTATGTCGTAATGTCTCAAGCTTTACGTCATTCCAGGCAACGCCCAAGCCGAGTTGTATTCGACACATACAAAATGCGACTTTTGAAACGGGCCTAAGAACTCCTAAAACACGCTGAATTGCGCTGTACACGTAACGTTCCGTGTTGAAAAAATGTCAATTGCTTAAGTTGTCTAGTCACAGACTAAGTAGGATAAGTAGAAATCATGGATAAGTATACAATGAAAGATATCTAATCTGTGTTTTTTTGTAACATTTTTTACCCGTGAGCTCAGGAAACTGTCTGAATATTAATGACGTTTCCTTCTTCATCTTTTCCTTGATTTGATATTGTGCCAATATTTGTTTCGCATTGGTGAAAATGTTCTCTGTTTTATACACTTCAGTATTGTGAAGATAGTCCAGAGGTAGAATACCAACGGAGTTCAGAGGAAATGAGACACCTGGAATTACAAAAAAAAAACCTGCTTGAAATGTGTATCGGCTTTGTAACTGTAAATGCTGGTTTACAGTAGGAATTTTGCATGGGTAAATTCTAAGTTTAGGAGGATTTGTAAGAAATGTTCGAAGGAACTGACTCAGTGTTATCAAAGTCCCTGTAATTACAGTAGGAATTTTGCATGGGTTAATTCTAAGTTTAGAAGGATTTGTAAGAAATGTTCGAAGGAACTGACTCAGTGTTATCAAAGTTTCTCTGATTACATTAGGAATTTTGCATGGGTAAATTCTAAGTTTAGAAGGATTTGTACGAAATGTTCGAAGGAACTGACTCAGTGTTATCAAAGTTTCTCTGATTACAGTAGGAATTTGCATGGGTAAATTCTAAGTTTTAAAGGATTTGTAAGAAATGTTCGAAGGAACTGACTCAGTGTTATCAAAGTTTCTCTGATTACAGAATACAGTAGGAATTTGCATGGGTAAATTCTAAGTTTAGAAGGATTTGTAAGAAATGTTCGAAGGAACTGACTCAGTGTTATCAAAGTTTCTCTGATTACATTAGGAATTTGCATGGGTAAATTCTAAGTTTAGGAGGATTTGTAAGAAATGTTCGAAGGAACTGACTCAGTGTTATCAAAGTTTCTCTGATTACAGTAGGAATTTGCATGGGTAAATTCTAAGTTTAGGAGGATTTGTAAGAAATGTTCGAAGGAACTGACTCAGTGTTATCAAAGTTTCTCTGATTACAGTAGGAATTTGCATGGGTAAATTCTAAGTTTAGGAGGATTTGTAAGAAATGTTCCAAGGAACTGACTCAGTGTTATCAAAGTTTCTGTGATCACAGAATACAGTAGGAATTTTGCATAAGTTTAGAAGGATTTGTAAGAAATGTTCGAAGGAACTGACTCAGTGTTATCAAAGTTTCTGTGATCACAGAATACAGTAGGAATTTTGCATAAGTTTAGAAGGATTTGTAAGAAATGTTCGAAGGAACTGACTCAGTGTTATCAAAGTTTCTGTGATCACAGAATACAGTAGGAATTTTGCATAAGTTTAGAAGGATTTGTAAGAAATGTTCGAAGGAACTGACTCAGTGTTATCAAAGTTTCTGTGATCACAGAATACAGTAGGAATTTTGCATAAGTTTAGAAGGATTTGTAAGAAATGTTCGAAGGAACTGACTCAGTGTTATCAAAGTTTCTGTGATCACAGAATACAGTAGGAATTTTGCATAAGTTTAGAAGGATTTGTAAGAAATGTTCGAAGGAACTGACTCAGTGTTATCAAAGTTTCTGTGATCACAGAATACAGTAGGAATTTTGCATAAGTTTAGAAGGATTTGTAAGAAATGTTCGAAGGAACTGACTCAGTGTTATCAAAGTTTCTGTGATCACAGAATACAGTAGGAATTTTGCATAAGTTTAGAAGGATTTGTAAGAAATGTTCGAAGGAACTGACTCAGTGTTATCAAAGTTTCTGTGATCACAGAATACAGTAGGAATTTTGCATAAGTTTAGAAGGATTTGTAAGAAATGTTCGAAGGAACTGACTCAGTGTTATCAAAGTTTCTGTGATCACAGAATACAGTAGGAATTTTGCATAAGTTTAGAAGGATTTGTAAGAAATGTTCGAAGGAACTGACTCAGTGTTATCAAAGTTTCT